TTTCTGTCTGTCTGTCTGTCTGTCTGTCTGTCTGTCTGTCTGTCTGTCTGTCTATCATCTTCTGTCTGTCTGTTGATCATTTCTTTCTTTCTTTCAGTCTCTGTCAATACTTTTTAAATGTTTTTATACAAAACAAACAAGTCTGTTTTCACTAACTTTGCTACTCTACTTAAAAATAACATGATTTTTTTTTTTATTTAGCTAATTTTAATTGCTGTTTTTAAAGCAGATGAAATCTATCAAATGTCTAATATTCACTGTTTTATTGGTTTTGTTCAATTAGGGTTTCAGGCATCACATGGTAAATCTGCTTTGGGATAGGGATAGTTCACCCATAAATGAAAATTCTGTCATTAATTACTCACACTCATATCGTCCCAAACCCGTAAAACCTTTGTTCATCTTTGGAACAAATGAAGATATTTTTGATGAAATCCGAGAGCTTTCTGCTCGTAAACAAGGTGCAGCGCATGTGTGTTCTACGTGAGGAGCATCACACGTATGCGTCGTGGTACTCTCGAGAGTCGTGAATGGCGGCGGACACAGAACGAAGGTCTTGCGGGTTTGGAACGACATGAGGGTGAGTAATTAATGGCAGAATTTTCATTTTCGGGTGAACTATCCCTTTAAGATGAGGTCCTGTGTTCAAAGTGTATAAATAAACCTTAATTCAACTCAAATATACTGAATTCAGATATTCTGAAGCAATAAATATGTCATGACATTTTGGGGGGGAAATTCATTTAATTGTAGGGCACGTTTAATTGGATTAGTGCAATTATTATTTGTAGTACAATAATAATATTTATTTTATTTAGTAATTTTTATATTTTTATTTATTAATAATAGTAATAATGATGGTGATGATGATGATAATCTTATTAATAATAACCCTAAATAATAATAATATTAATAATATTTATTATTATGATTAATGTTGTTGATGTTGTTTTATAGCCAAATTGATAATAAAATCACAAAAGTCCTACAAACAAGCACAGCAAGCCTGGATTTTTTCAAATCCAACTTAAATCCCAATTGCAGTTTTTATCAGAAAAAAAAAAATCCCCAAATTATGCAGTCCTATTTATTTCTACTTTCACTAATAAATATTTTTCTTCTCTCTGCATTTCTCCAAATATTGGTTATTTTGGTTTGCCAAGAAACGTCTAAATATTTGTTTGTCATTTTTATCCAAATGTGTCATTGCTTTCCCTGGATCCCTCATTTATTTTCTATGACATGGTCATCAGCTTGTTGCTGGTTTTCTGGTCAGTGTGGCAGGTTAGCTTGAGGTGGCATCTAGCTAAGAGGTTCTCCCATGTGTTTAAGTGAAAGCCGCGTGTTGTTAGCACAAACCTGTAAAGCGTGGCTGGTGTAATTACACAAGGCTGTGTGCCGGCAATTACAGTGTCATGCTCTGTGATGAGAACCTGTACTGTTGTGCATGTGTGATTACTTCTGCATGGCGGCGGGGTGAAGACTAGCCTACTGACCTTCTGACTCTACTAACGCATTAGCATTTGCTTATTCCTATTAGACCGTATCTAGGGACCAGAATATAATAGAGAGTAAGCTAGCAGCTTAGCAACCACAAAAGCAATGCATGAGAAAGCAAAATTTTCTCATATTTTCTTCAAAATACAGGTTGAATTTACAGAACTGTACAGAAATATTTTACTTCCAAAAATGAATAAAAATTCAATGTCAAATTTTTTTCATATTTTGTTTTCCAGACCAGTGCACAGTTACAAGATCGTACCTGTTCCTGCACAAATTTTGGTTCTTCAGCACCATCTACTATTTTGGCAACTGGGCTTTCCTTGTGGTAATATATTTTCCTAAAAGAAAATCTTTCTTTCTTTCTTTCTTTCTTTCTTTCTCTCTCTCTCTCTCTCTCTCTCTCTCTCTCTCTTTCTTTCTTTGCCCTATTATATAGCCCTAATGCATCTTTTGTTGTGTTGCAGGTCTTTCTTATTGGTTTGGTTGTTTCATGCTGTAAAGGGAAGAAATCTGTGATCGAAGGGGAAGTTGATGCAGACGATTCAGATGTCAGTGATGATGAATATGTGCATTAACTTACTGAAAGTCCTGTTTTTACTTGGATTCGTTACTAGTCAGAGCTGGAATGAAAAAAAATAATTGTAAAATAGTTTTCCACATCTTTCATTCATTGTTCAGAGAGAGAAATATTGACGTTCTTTAAGACTTGATTGAATGTGTTATGATGCCAAATAGATTTTGTGACGCTAGAGGCATTGTCATGTTTAACTGATAGTAGTAGTCTGATATGCTAACCCGTCTTTACTACTGACCCTTACTACTAACTAAGGGTATATATGCATGTCATTTTGCATTGCTGTCTAAAATAATTCAACAAAAGTTTTTCTCTCTAAACAAGACCAAATTTAGTTTGAAATAAGTTAAAACGGTACAAATCCTTATGCTGATTTATTTATTATTTAAGTGTTTTTTTAAAAGCTGTGCATATCCGCAGTTTTTTTTTTTTTTTGCTAGGCATAATGCTGCAGTGTTTCTGATGTTTGCTTTCTTTAATGTTACTTTAATCCCTGAGATTGAATTACTGTCATGATGGTCGTGGACACACTTTATTTCACATAGATTTTTACTTTGGAATTATTGGATTGTACTTGCAAGAGAAAGTTCTAGAGAACTGATGCAAGATTAAACATTCTGTAAAAATTCATTTATCATACAGTATTGGTATGTTTTGTGGTTTTCTGAAATTAAAGGGGTCACATGATGCGATTTCAAGTTTTCCTTTCTCTTTGGAGTGTTACAAGCTGTTCGTGAATAGATAAGATCCCTAAAGTTGCAAAGACTAAAGTCTCAAACCCAAAGAGATATTCTTTATAAAAGTTAAGACTTGTCCACAGCCTCCTAAAACGCCTTGTTTAAACACGCCCCCACATGTCTACATCACTGTGTGGGAAGATTTGCATAACACCGCCCAAATGTTCATGCAAAGAAAGGCGGCGTAACTTTTATTCTCACTGTAGTATTGTTGTTGCCGCTGCCACCATGTCGTGAAGACGCTGTGTGTTTCGATATCTAAAGTATCAAACGCAGCACTAAGATCAAGTAAAACTAGCAATGAGATACAGCCTTGGTCTGACGCAAGAACATCTTTTGACCTCACTATTTGGGGAACAGACACAGTCTTTATATCTTGGACAGCGCAAGTACTTCTATAATTTAAGCGAAAATTAGACGACAAAGAATTAACTTGACGGAGCTCAAACTCAACTCAACTCAACTCAAACTCAAACTCAACTCAAACTCAAACTCAAACTCAGAACACGCCGGTGTTCTGACAAATAATGCTGACTCACAGCCTGTAAGTATGCGTTCATATTTAAAGGATTTGCCATTGATGATTCAAACGCGAGTTTTGAGAAGTGTAGTGTAGCGCTTGTTTTTTGTCGTTTCTCCGATCACAAATGCAGACATGGTTTTATGTTTACGCGGCTCGATACGTAGCAACGCGTAAAAAGAC